TACGATAATGCGATTTACTCTGAATTTCCTTTCCCTTTCAAGTGCAGATTCTTATATGGTCTTGGTATGTCAAGAGGCATTGCAAGCATGCCTCACCAAGTGAGACAAGGAAGACTGCCAGGATAAAATACAAAAAAGTCCGGAAAAGAATCTGAGTTAGCCCAAAAACAATGCAACAATGTTCTGGTCCGCCCGATCAATCTGAGGCACATTTTTCGACTGTGACATCAAGTCAACAAGCCATTCTTTTCAATCGTGAATCACCCTTGCAGAGTCCGGTTTGCCCAAGTCCACACATTTATTTGGGTTCTCGGGCTAGTTCCGGGCCTATCAATCGGCACAAAGAGTTAAACTTCAGGCTTTTTCAGCCCAAATGTTGTCTTGATTAATAACACTCTTGGCAAAGCCAAAGGATGTTTCAATGGGGAGCATGGCTGTGCTTGCGGTGGAGACACCCCACGCCATTGCACCACCTCATACAACGCAGCCCAGCAAGCCTCCATACCCGGTCACCTATGTTGAACAAAGGCTCGCCGTCGGGCTCGGTGGGACGACCACAGACCACACAGGGCCTGGACGGCCCCCCGCGGCGGCGGCTGGGCACGAGCCGGTCATCCGTGCACGACGACCGCCCCGGAGCTGGTCACGAGCAGCGGACGGCACAGGAAGCGCGGACAGAGGAGGGTCGCGCGGCGAGACAGCGAAACAAATTAACTGTGTCTGAGGATGGAGAGGTGTCTGGAAATGATGCTTCGAGGTCAGGAAATAGTTGATGAAACAGATTCTTTTTCACAGTTCCAACAGGTAGCTTTGTTACGGAGCGAGCGAAGCGAGCGTAGTCTTTACTTAGATTAACGGAAATTTCTGAGTATGAGCGGCCGGCCGGCCGGCCGGCCGTGGTCACGCTTTTGCGAGGCTTATATCTCAGCAACCACTTGACCGATTTACATGCGGTAATTTTTGTAGGGTAGCTTCATTCCTTCTACCAAGTATTGCACTATTCCCGATGCATGTGTGTGACCCCTTATGCACGTGCCACGTGCAAAACGAAGAGGTGTCACTTTTGTAATTGTTGCAATATCTCGGTAACTACTGGGCCGATTGCGCTGAGAGTTGGCATGTAGGTAGGCACCCACTAGGCAATGCATATCCATGTGCCACAGTTGGGGTGCTGCTGCACGTGCGCACGTGCAGGGGTCGTTTCCAGATCTCGAGAACGGCTGGACCGATTGCGCTCAAATTTGGTACACGGTTACGGAGCAGTTAGTAGGGTGCCGTGCACAAGTCAGTTGGGACCCATTTTGCACGTGCGCACGTGCAGGGTGCCGCTTCCAGATCTCGAGAACGGCTGGGCCGATTGTGCTCAAATTTGGCACATCGCTAGAGACCGGTTAGTAAGGTGCCGTGCACAAGTCAGTTGGAGGTACCCCCTCGCAATTTCGCACGTGCAAGGCCCACCCTCTCGCTCGCTCCGTTAGTCGCCACAAAAGGCGTTATACTGGTGATACAGGTGCATCATTTTGATTAGCGGGCTATACAATTTGTCCTGAATTGCATCGTCTCGTCCGAAAAAAAGCATCGAGCCTTCTCAAACACCTCCCGTGATTTAGCTACCCCCACTCCCCATCTCCCCCTCAGCCGGCAGAGCGACCGGCTCCGCTCATCCCCTACCCATCCAATGACGCGGAGATCAGCCAGCACCGATAGAGTCCTAGGATCAAAGCTCCGGGACCGCCGCAGCTCGCTCGCTGCGCGTGCCGGACGGCTCAGTCTGTCACTGCGCCGGCCTGTGCGTGTGATGGGTCGGTGATGTCTCTTCGCTATCTGGCCCACTCCATGCAGCGAAAGATGGGATGCGGTGTCACGACGGCGCGGCTCACACCTATCATTGCATTATTGAGCGATACTATAGAAATAGCCGCATAACGTACTTGTTCGCTTGTTTGGTTTGGTTAGGGATTGAGCAAGGAGCATCGGGAACAATAGCGATATCGGAATTGGTGTTTCAAGAAGTCGAGAGCGAAAGGTTGATGACAAACATAAGCACATGTTACGTGAAGCTTGACGTGAAGTATTGCAGATAGCCAACCAACGGACGTAGTTCTGCACTACCAAGTGCCCAGCCTCTTGGCCGGCTCCTCCCCGGTATCATCACCGCGCTCTCCGCCCCGCCGCGCCGCCTCCGCCATAAACCGAGCACGGCGGGTCAGTCTACCAGCCAGGGGGCGGCATAAAGTCAGCGGGGCGCTGCCGACCACCCGGCCGGCGCCACCGCCCGGCGTTTGAGGCCATTCAACGGCTCTCTATAGTCGCCCGCTGTGCACCACGGCTGAAGTGCCGACCGCCACGCCTGTGTCACCCACAGTCTAAAAGGATTACAGGCTAGTGCAGCCCCGCTATCAAGTCTGCAATACGTGAACATTGCCAGACTGAGCAAAGTGAGCGTCTGTTCGAAAGGTAACGCGCTAGTAAAAGACGCTTGCTGAAAAGGCTATACACAATGTGAGGTTCTGCAGGGATGTAATGAGCGTTTTACACCTTTTTACACCGCCACCCATGAACAGATGAGCCCCAGGAGTTCCCTCGCTCTATCGATGCACAAAACCTAAATGTTGCACCAGAAAACAAGGTACCTACACATTAAAGTTTTAACTTTGACTCGCTAATTGCGTATACCTTTTAGTGAGACGAGCTTAGATCTTTCTGCTCTTTCAAACAGCTTGATTTCCAGAAAAAAATGTTGGTATTGCCTAAGTTAAACAATTTTACGCAGAACTGATGTCATAAGAGGAATGTTTATGATAACCGAGGGATATCAGTGGTCAATGGCCATATTATCGAGCTATGTAACTCAATATGCGCGGTCAAATACAGAAGAGCTTAATAAACCATATCACCAGGAAGACATCGAGTCATATAGAGCGCATTGAAGTACCGACACAAGTACTGAAGGACTGTTGCATCATCCAAGCATCAATGCACTGCAGCCTTTCGTCAGTACGATTGTCGCGCCTTGACAACCAGATACATTCAGTTGTTAAGATACCAGCTGAATCGGACAGAATATGACATATAATGCTCTATTGGCATAACGATAGCTGACGAAGTGTGCTCTACACGTCATTGACCGGAGGACAAATATTCAACTGCAAAGAATAACGATATTTGGAGACTAAATTTATTGATCGAAAAAGAAGGCGTAACCAGCTACACTACACCAACACTTCTTTCGAGCGAATTTGTCCCCTCGTCTTCCCCTATGGCCTTTTCCGCACCGCTCCAGACGCCTTATTTTCATGTGGCCTGTCAGCCCTCCCCTTTCCAGCCTGCGGCGGAAACGGTGACAGCATGGAAAGTGAGCGGGCAAATCACACCCGGCCATCCCCGCTGGCAGGTTATTTCCAGACGCCGCCCTTCAGCGGTGCCGTGGAGAGGGACGGAGGACGATTCAGGCGGACAGACAAAGAGAGAAGGCGGTACTTACATACACCGACCGCCGGGCAGACAGGCAGGGTGTAAGTACATTTAGCTGACGGGACAAGATGGGAATATGCTAGGGAAGCTCCGACAGTGTCTAGACCAAATGTCTAGACAAAATCGATTGTGTCTCTGATCGGCATCACTTGATGCAATGTGGCATTTGCATGAAATGCTGGGCTTTTGTGATGTGAAACTGCAAATATTTTGAAACCGTAAACTCCTTTGGTAAAGACAACCCCAACCGAAACCATCCAGTCCTGCTGCATCACGCAATAGGTAGGCATGGAGTCGATGATGCACCCATTCCCGGAAGTTGAGCCCTGCGGCCGGAGCCTTGGTCCGGGAAGAATCCACTTGAGGCATTGGTGCCCGTCCATTGTCACCTGCTCGGGAACGTACCGTCACCGAATTGCGTTCCGGCCGATCCCTCTGTCAATCTCATCCCCAACCGGCCAACAGCGCCCGACCAACCCACGACATACTGGTTCCAGCCTTCTCTGCCGAGTTTTCCCATCGCCTCTGCGCGACACCAACCCTTCCAGTCACCCGTCTGCAGCCAGTTTAATGACGTTCACCGCTGAATCGCTGTCTAGACCGACGTTGACGGCGGCGGCGGTGGTGGCAGCGGATGTTCCGTCGCCACCGATAGGACCGCCGCCGACCGACGGGTAACCGTCGTTGACGATGAGCGGTCGTTCCTCTGCGGAGGGTGGGGTAGCACCCGGGCTTTGTTGCCGAGGAGGGGCTGGCTGGTTGGCTGAGAGCCGCCTACCCCGCCTGAGATGAATAGGCGAACCCGTTGGCGAAAATAAATGAAGGATCAACGGGAAGACAGGGCCAGGGCCGACCAGTCGAGAAATGCGCTCAGTTGTTTTAGTCGTTTGTCTGTGAACGACGAGGCGAGCGAACAACGGGCGACCTACCAGCCTCAGAACGAATATCGCATTGGATCACGGCATTTCCACCTGTTTGTAGGCGGCTGCTGGGAGAAGCGTGTCTCTCTCCCGTATTTCAACCGGGAAGATGAGTGTGTTTTATCCGCGGGGAAGTTATGCTACAGGTGAATAGTGTGTCGGTCATAATGCATCGTTTGCGTAGCGTGACTGAGGAAGATAACGGGCTGAAGTTCAGCCATCTGATTTCACATTAGTTCACCCGATAATGACATCCTTTCAATGATTGACACTAATAGAGAGCTGTGATATTGCCAGTAGAATCCAGAATGGGACACCTGTTATGACCATCATTAACTCGTGGATTCATCGTTTCTGCTACTTATTTTTCAATACAACGGCATGATTGCCCAGTGGAAAACAGTTTGTCTCGTTAGGTATAAAAAAAATCCAGTTTCAGCGGTATTAAAGTTGAGCCTACCTGCATTTGACGTCACTTGTTTTATACGCCTGCACGATAAAAATTCGGGTCCGTAGAGATGGACGATCCCAGGTGATCGTCCTTTACATCCCATCACCCTCTCCTCCGTCACAGCCCCACCACCCCCCGCCGTTCCGGCCACCCACCTGTTTGGAGCGGCGCAGCATGTGCTGCAGCTCGGCCTGGAGGTCGTTCTCCGTCTCAGCCAGGTCGCGCACCGCCGTCTCCATCGCCTCGCTGTACTCGGAGAACTGGCGAGAGATGTCTGTAACACACGGAGTCGTGTGGCAATGGGTGTGAGTATTTATCTGTGGTGCATACTCGGAGAACTGGCGAGAGATGTCAGTAACACACGGGGGAGTAGTGTGACAATAGGTGTGAGTACTTACTTATGCTGTGGTGCATACTCGGAGAACTGGCGAGAGATGTCAGTAACACACGGGGGAGTAGTGTGACAATAGGTGTGAGTACTTATGCTGTGGTGCATACTCTCGGAGAACTGGCGCGAGATGTCTGCTACACACGGGAGAGTAGTGTAACAAGGGGTGCGAGTGCTTAAGATGTGGTGCAGCGTGTGGGGAGGTGGGGAGGGATCGAGAGGATGGGCGGGCGGGGAGGGCGATAGAAGTGGGACAACATCCTGTGGTTTACTCTATCGGAACCAGTGCCTGTTTTTACTTTGGTTGGGCACAAAAGAGAGAAAACACATTGCGGGGTTAGCATATTACAATATGATATTTAGCACAAAAGGCAAAGACATCAGTAAGCTAAGTCATGTGTGATATTATTTTTTGAAACGTAGCGGTGTACGTCGCTTCCGCGACCTTTGAGCTAGGCAGTGATGGCGAATCTCACAAGCTGAATAAAAACATGGACCAGCTAATGCATTCCGGTAGCTGAGCGTTCAGAGAATAGAAAAATCCCTGTTCGAATAACCGCCTCCGCGGCTCCGAATTTAGCAACGCGAAACGACACCGCCCAAACTCACATTCCCGATCGTTCGAGCACCCACAACTTCCAATAATTCGATTATCGAAAATAAACCGGGTTCAAATCCCAGTGAGACCACCACACATGACCACAAATGTCAAATTTAGTCGCGGTAAAATAGACTGGGTTAAGACCCAACTGCGCATAACGCTTATGCAAATATCACGAAATGATGTTAAAATAGTCTATAAAGGTCGCACGTAATTGAATAGCTGCGGGCTGGGAGCAGGCCTAAAACGGGGCGGCGTTTTAACCAGGTGGCATGATACAACACACAGTGCACAAGGGCGGTGTTTCACGGCCCCGCGTTACGGTGCGCTACGCGTAGCGGTGTATTGGGTGTCTATGGAAACATCAACAAACTCGGACGCTCGCCACGCTGAAGGGTCGCGGCGAATTTGTCGCATTCGCCGCACCAATATTGTAGGGCACTGTAGCAGCGTGCCGAGAAACACCGTCAAGGACATCTACCAGCAACGAACAAACTAGAGAGTCGTGACAGCTGCTGGAGTTGTAGTTTGCATGACGTCAGGATGGAAATGTTACCTGCTTCCAAGCCGTCGGCAGAAAGCCGCAAAAAGACGATGCTCACTGATGCCACTGTATTGAAAAACGGCATGAGGTGAAGGGTAAGAATGACTCGTGTCATGTCATTACCTTTTATGTATGTCATGTTATTACCTTTGTCTTGTGTTGGCATTCGCTGTGCTGTATTTACCTTGATGTCAGCTGTAGGCGCTCACACAAATCGTCCGCGTCTCACTCTGACTGCACATCGCCCAGCCATCACAGCACACACACATACACGCACCATACCTGACTAATAAAACTTAACCGAGAGGAATCCAGGCGTACGGCTCACTCCCCCACTGCGTCAAAGGTCTCAATCGCTCTGAGTCGGGGCCTGCTCGGCCCGGACGCACCGCCGACCCAGCTGAGGTCACTGAGTAACGTGACCTCGGCGGCAGCCAATCAGGGGCCGAGCGGCGATCGGCCCCGGCGCATGGAGCAAGTTTACAACTCACTATTTGCAGTTGTAACTTTTTGCAGTTGTAAAACATGTCCCAGCAATTGAAAACAAGGAATCACCTAATGGTTAAGAGTAGAGCACAATGTAGGCTCTCGTGCATCTTCTGTTGAGCGAAGCGGAACCGATCAATAACCGACATTGCATCTGGACCCGCAGGGCGCAGGTAGATGGCTGGAGACCTCTCTTGAACTAAGCAGAATATGTTAACAAAGCCAATACCGAAGACGGTCCACTGAATAAACATAAAACTAATGTAACTAGCTTGATATTTTATCCACAAAGTGCATGTTTTGCATTAGCGACGAGGCCAGTGGCAGTCTAAACATAAATGCAATTTCCATTACACATATATCTGCAGTAGATCTCATTCCAGCTTGGTATGCGGACGGTACCACTGTTATAAGCCAATGCATGCCTCAGTTGGTATCGCATTATAAGCATCGATAGGATTCGAATGACATTGACTGCGCCGGCTGTGTTTGAGTATAGGCTACCCTCGACGTCCTGGCAACGCTCTATCATACAGAGGTTTAATAACATTGGGAAATGGGGATATCTAGGCCAATGATATAAATAATGAATAAGAAGGCACCATTTTAAACATCTTTGTTCTTGCGATAGCCTCACATGGTCACAAACACTAATGCGTGGTTCACACCGGATCCGTAATGACGCCGTAACCGTTACGGCCGTAATGAGCTAGACATTTCTCAAGATTCCCCAAGCATTGCGACTTTTCTAGACGAAGTTGAAATGTGGCAACCAGCCGCCGTAAACTGGCAGCGTCCACCGTACTCGTTACGGAACGCAACAGAAGTTGGGAAAATTGAACTTTTCGGCCCGACCGGCCGCCGTAATGACTTTTGTTGACATGTATCTCCAAAACGGTTTGACTGTTTGATGAGCGGTCTTCTTTGGAGAGGGGATGTATCCTTTCTTCATGGAACTGTGCTATCCATACAACTCATGAGTGCCTGTTACAGCGCGTGCCACGTGCGACGTGAGAGGTTCAGAAGAGCTCGTCATTTCATAACTCGGGAACGGCTGAAGCGATACAGCTCAAAATTTGTTTGTTGTTTTGGCTGGGTGCACACTATGTACACATCCGGTGACCTTTGAACGGTTTTGAATTCCTTCAGCGCGTGCGCACGTGCACACCCCTTTTTAATATCTCGGGATCTGTTGGGCCGATAGCGCCCATATTTTGTATGCTAGAGGACACCATGTAAATATGAATATTGCACGGGCTGGCAAAGACATTAATTTGCACGTGCGCACGTGCGTACCCCTTTTTCATATCTGTGGATCGGCTGGGCCGATAGCGCTCATATTTTGTATGCTGAATTACACCATGTTTATAAGCAGATGGCACGGGCTGGCAAAGACATTGATTTGCACGTGCGCACGTGCGTACCCCTTTTCCATATCTGGGGATCCACTGGGCTGATAACATTCATATTAAGTATGGTGAAAAACACTATGTTTTTAAGCATGTTGCACGGGCTGGCAAAGACATTGATTTGCACGTGCGCACGTGCGTACCCCTTTTTCATGTCTGTGGATCAGCTGGGCCGATAGCGCTCATATTTTGTATGCTGAATAACACCATGTTTATAAGCAGTTTGCATGGGTTGGCAAAGACATTGATTTGCACGTGCGCACGTGCGCACCCCTTCTCCATATCTGGGGATCCGCTGGGACGATAACGCTCATATTAAGTATGCCGAATGACACCATGTTGACCTGCAGTTTGTAGTGGTCAGCGAGGGTATTGGCTAGCACGTGCGCACGTGCGCACCCTTTTTCCATAACCGCAGATCGGCTGGGTCGATAGAGCTTATATTAAGTATGCTGAATAACACCATGCATATTAGTAGACCTCACAGGTCAGCGAGCGTATTGGTCTGCACACGTTCGCGTGCTTACCCTTTTTAATGACATGTTCCGATTGCTTGGGATTGCATCTTTGGTAGGTTAAGCCAAGGTATCGCCGAGCAGTTATGGAGCTTCCAAATGTCGACGAGGGCAGCGGTCTGCTCGTGCGCACGTGCGGACCCGTTTACCTTAGCTCGAATCAACCTGCCAATAATTATTATTTCTTGTGAGCATGCCCTCAGCGTGTAACGCTCACGGCTTACTTTGTATCTTGTATGTGGAGTTCTGGGTTCTGAGTTTCATGGAGTTCTGAGCAAAGAACACCAGCCATATTGTCCCTGCTACTTGCTAAATTTGATACATGGACTTGTAGATATTTGCAGACGTTTGAATCCACATTGACTCTTGGTAAGCCAATCGAGCAGAGGGTATACAATACAGATTCTGGCGTCCGTTGGTATTCCCATCACCCACGAATACCAAAGAATGTAAGAAATAAACTGCAGCGTTGACGGGCATAGACATGCCCACTTGTAATGCAAGAAATAATGCAAGAATCTCCGTCCAGTGTTCTGCCCACCGGCGTTTAATTAACAATGATATGACTCGATACAATTGCAGACCGCTATGTCAGAGTGAAATTAACAAATTAAAAGGAAGAGAGTAAAGCAAGTCTACATTCTGGCGCTCTGATATTAAAAACAGCTCTTGGCTTTAGCCCATTTTCCGCTTGCCTATAAGCAAAATAGAGTTTTGGCGCACTTGATTCGAACGGTGACGCTCAGCGATGGCAATTCCCGGTACACACATTACTGTTTCCGCGATGCTCCCGGCGATAACAGCGCCTTTAACGTGCTCTGCAGTGTGCATCAAAGCGTTGTGCTAACCGAGACAACGCGAACATCGCGTGCAATAAATGGACCATCGACATGACCTCAACAAGATTCGTAGCATTTTTCCTCGAATTTCGCCTGCGCCGAACTGTTGCAGAGCTATCTGCCAGAAAATGCAACAGTTATGTTGAACAGTCAGATAACTTCCACTTCCAATAACTCTTGGTGGGTTCAGAGGGTCTATCAATCAAAGTGTCAAGAACGTGTGATCTATCCAGTTGACCAGAAGTGCCCGTTGAACGCAGTGGCGCAGCCAGGATTTCGTTTCGGGGGGGTCATCGCCTCCAAAGCGGGCCCCCTAGTGTGCGGGCCCCCCACTCATTTTTCAGAATCTCTCCATATTTCATACACAATCTGCTGAGCGGGCCCCCTTTACCTGCACGATAACCCTGAGCGAGTATGAATCAGAAAATTTGGATAGAGCAATAGCTCGGTAATCACCCGGTGTTCAATTTTTACGCAAATTGACCACAACAG